ATTCAAAATTATTGATTTCGAAAAATATATATATACTCGGCATGTTTGAAATTAAGTACTTTATTTTTAAAATAATAGTAATCCAAAAGATTAGGTGATTATTGGTACTATGTAGGTAAGAAAATAGCTTTATGAACTTTGTGGAATTAGAATTCTTATGTTTCTATGGTTGAAAAAGCTTTATTTAAGTTCTAAAGATTATCTATTTATACAAATATAAAGCTGAAAACTTGAGAATTTCTTGTGCTCTCTCGAAGTTTTCACTATACTCTTACCTAATATTATGATCTTAATGAGTGAGATGAGGTAAAGCTGTTATCTAATGTGACAAAGATGCCTAAGTGCGTCTTTTCTTGTTCCTTAATGATCTAGGACGAAGGGAAAAAGGTTCTGTTGGTGGGCCTGCATTCGTGCCAAAAGTATGATTTTCACTAGAAGGAATAAGATTTAGGTGGTGGGCCCCATCTATTTTCTCTTATACCCGTAGCTTTTGAGCCGACGAAGGAAGCTCAAGTTCAATTAAAATGGAAGAATACTTCAAAAATATGCGGTGGGGCTTTTGGACTTTGGATTAGTAAAGAAAAGCCTTATGGAGTATAATCAAAGCTACAGCTTTTGGAAAACAAATTTCATCTTTCATTGATCTCCATTCAAGATATTCGATACTTCTCAAGAGACTTGAGTATTGTGATTTTAGGAATAAGTTCAACAAATTAATTTAGAATTTTAATTTGAAATATATATAAATAGTAGATTTTAGGATAAGCAACTTTTGATAGTGCAATAATTTAGTAGTGAAATGAAGTTTATTGGCTTGATACGATAATATTCAACAGGCTCAAAGCGTGGGGTAAATATCTAAATGAGATCAAGAGGTTAAATATATTCAACAAAAACACTTTTTTCTGATGGAAAATAAATTTAAAAAAAAAGAGAGAAATAAGAAAGTTCAATGGTGCAACCACTGTGGTGACGCTTTTGTATGTATTTTATCAAATTATGACCACTTGTCCACGGATACCAAATACAGCAATTGTCTTTTTCATTGCTTCTGCATGGAAACTTGCTCACATGTTTTGTTCTTCTTCCTAGGTAGGATCCCCTTGGATTCTCTTGTGCATTGAAACTTCCACCACATGAAGGCAACGACTATAAACACATGGTCAGTGGTCCCGGTCAATAAATTACTAATTTATGTCTAGCTTGGCAAGTTTCAATTATTGGTTGGATTATACAAGTTAAATCAGTAAAGAAACTTAGATATATATAATAAGGATTAATATCACTAAAAACCCAAAACTAGTATATCTGTAATAAATTTACCCAAAACTAATTTTTTTATTACAAAAAACCCCAAACTTATACACACGTGATAAATTTACCCAACGTTAATTTCTGTTAAATTTTACTATCAAATTGCTAAGTTAAATGACACATGGCAGTTGATGGATGTATCAGTTTGGGGTTTTACTCTCCGTTTGTCATAAGTATACTAGTTTGTGATTTTTTTTTTGTATTAATCCAATGTAACAAAGGGTAAATTTGTCACAAATGGTTAAAAAATTAGTTTTGGGATAACTTTATCACATGTGTACTAGTTTGAGGTTTTTCTTGGTATTAACCCATATAATAAAGCAAAAGCAAATAGGCAATTTGATTTATTTATGAGATTTGAAGGATAAATTAAGGCACAAGCATAGCAAAAAAGAAATTCTCCTCATTGTGCTCGGCGACAAAATATATACATAGCATGTTGATTTGAAGGCGGGACGAGCGGTGGGCGATAATTTAGGAGCCTTTGCGGGGTCCGAGGGGATGAAGGTCTTTATGCCACGTGGGTCCCATCACCACCCACCCTCTCTCTCGTTGCAAGCACAAAGACGGACGACGGGATGGAGGCTCCTGATGCTGACACGTGTCGTTGTATAGCGGCAGAGCTAGCACCGTTGTCTGGTTGGCGTGCGCAAGAGGCCCCGCGCGCTATTCGTGACCTGGGCAGTGGGTTAGGGTGGGTTCATAGTGAATAGATCTGAATTAATTTATTAATCGAACATAAATTTAGAAAAGTAGGTATTTATTCGCATTTTTTTTGTCTTTTTGGCCCGAGTAGGTGTACCATAAATTCACATTGAAGCTTCCCGAAAAAAGGGCACTCATTCTATATTCCAATTAAATAAATCATTTTTAGATGGGATTGATCATTAAAAACTGTTTTCCTGTTTTTGCGCCCTTTGCCATAAAGAAAAGAGACTAATTTTGAGATCCTCGATAAGTAAGTTGAGTCGGTCATACCTGGTATGCATCTTTGATAGACGGAGGATTTTATAAGATATTTGATTATTCGATGATCATTTTAATTACTGCGAATTACGATTTTATGCATATGCAATTACAGATTGAGATAATATATTGATGACAGCATGACTTTTCTTTGGATATTTCGGCGAAGATTTAAAGTCGGAATATTTTCAGTAGGTTTGCTTGATTGAAAATAGTTGAGGCACGAAAACTGATTCTAATAGACATAGGATATAAGCATTTTCTATTTTATATTGTTATTGTAAATAATTGTGGTGTGAATATACGGCGATGTTCCCGAATTAGTAATTTCTCAGAACAAGGGCATGTAATAATATTAAATCATATATGTTATTAATGATTTTCCAATTCTTTTCCGAAAATTGTTGATGGAAAGTTTGGTCTGTGGGAGGAAGCCGTGGGTCCCACTGCAAGGAATTAAAACCCTCCTTCATGCGATGCCGTTTTCTGAACATCGAACCCATGATATATTAGGGAAAGTGACTTCACCGGAGAAAAGTACACTTGCAATAGTGAGTGAGACTAGGTCTGGTCGATGTGGTTTTATTGAGTTATAATGTATATCTTGAAAGCCGATATAAGTTGTTGTTACACCGTGAAAGCATCGTAACTCCGAAGGTGTTGTAGCTGTAAGTCGAATGTCGAGCGACTCGTAAAGGCAGCAAAACCCCTTTTCACTACCGAAGTGGCTTATTGGAAAAAAAAAACCGTATAATTAAAAGGTGTCCACATGTCATGTAAACATGATATTCATTGACCCATGATTAGTATAATGATGTAATTACTTCTTTTTTTCGATTTTTCGCCTTTTGATTTTATAATTATGATGACCTCTTCTTATTTTTTTTTAAATTTTTTAGTGCTATATGATATAATTGCCCTTTGACCATTGAACAGAAATCTTCAAAGGTTAGTAGGAGGCCCAATCATTAATCAACAATCTACGTATTTCACGGCGTCCGTGGGCGGAGGCCTCAAGCGGACATTATCTTAAGTCAAGTAATCGATGACATTTTTCTTGTACCAGGATATGAGTTGTCGTAATTTGGATGGCTAAACCCAAACAAAGGAGGAGAATCATAGCGATTTGTTAATTATAAAAGCATTTTTTTTTACATAGATTGAATTTGAAGTGTAATTTTGACATCATGGGGAGTGACAAATCGAGGCCCCGCGCATTCGTCACTCACGAACTCGCAGGTGATTTTGAGGAGGGTGGCTTGTCGGCCATCGAGAATGATCGTGGGCATGGGTTTTAGGGTTCTGCAGGCATGTGAGGGAAGAAGCGACAACAAAGGGGAAGAAAGATCAAGGATTTGGAGCGAGGAAGATAAGAAATGTGCAAAGGTCAAGGAAGGAAATAGAGAGAGCTGTCGTTGGAGTCGAAAAGTCAAAATTAAGGGCTATAGAAATATCTATTGAGCATTGATGTTTTTTCGAAAAGTTGAAAAGTTAAACAAGAGGAAAGACAAAAATATTGAGCATTGATGTTTTTCAAAGTGGTCTCCACCTTAAACGACGTGTAATAAGAGCTATAGAAGTATCTACCCTCTGATTGATTATTTTTCAACATTGGCTGCTCTTTGGATAGTCCAAGAAAAAGTAAAGGGAGAATCGCACCGAAAATTCTAATATTGCAATTTAGGAAGCACCGTGGAGCCTATAGGGCCCTTCCTGTTATTTCTTCTCCTAAGGAGTTAGGATATCAAGCCGCTAGGATCTTCCTGTTAATTGTCCGAAGGCTCTATATATATGGCATATTTTAGGATAAGCGATCTTTGATAATACAATATCTCAGTAGTGAAGTGAAGTTTATCGGTTTGATGCGATAATATTTAACAGGTTCAAAGTGAGAGGGCTAAATTCTTAAGTGAGATTGAGGGTTTAAAATTTATTCAACAAAATACCCTTTCTGATGGAAAATAAATTTAAAAAAAAAACAGGGAAAGTTCAAAGGTGCAGCAACCGTCCTGACGCTTTGTATATGTTTATCAATTATGACCACTTGTCCACGGATACCAATACCAGCAATTGTTTTTTATTATTTGGTTTTTTTTCATTGCTTCTACATCGAAACTTGCTCACGTGTTTTCTTCTTCCTGGGTCAATTCCTCTGTGCATTGAAACTTCCACCACATGAAGCCAACGACCATAAAAGCATGGTTAGTGGTCCCGGTCCATGAATTACTCATCTAGCTTGGCAAGTTTGAATTATTGGTGCATGTCTTAAATCAAACCAATAAATATATATAATAAAGTAAAAGAAAAAGTAAAAAGGCATTTTGATTTATTTCTGAGATTTGAAGGAGAAATTAAAGCGGAAATAGAGCAAAAAAGAAATTCTTCTCATTATGCTCGAGTACAAAATGAATATATATATGGTGTGTTGATAATTTTTTATGATCCTTGACATGCGTTAATATTTAACAGTCTCAAAGTGAGGGGTTAAATTCCTAAGCGGGATCAAGAGTTTAAAGATATTCAACAAAAATATATTTTCTGATGGAAAATAAATTAACAAAAGAAAAACGAAAGTTCAACGGTGCAAGCGGTGGACTAAGTTCAAGGAAGACTCGTCCCAAGTCTCTCTCTCGACTTTTCATCTTCCCAACAAATCCACCGTTTTATGTGTATTGAAATTTTAACAGACCTTGTCGATTATTATTTTCTCTGGATTCTCTTGTGCATTGAGATTTCAGCCACGTGAAGGCAACGACTCTAAGCACGTGGCTGACAAGCTTGACTTATTGGTGCGATTCTGGCTGCCAACTGGTTCCATTATAAGCATCAAACCACAAGAGAATGGGCAACAAGAAGCCATTTCCTGTTTCCTGAGAGCCATTCTGGCTTTCTCTTCCGTCAGACTTGAAAGCGCAAATTAAGGGCAGAGTCAGAGCAAAGCCGAAATGCATCGTCCCATTTTTGGGCATTCTTTCGTCGTGCTCGTGGCACCGGTCCTTCTTGCCGTGCTCGCATTCAATTTTCTCAATAAGAAGAAAACTAGTACGCGAAGAAATGAAGAAGATGTTGATGCTGGCGCATCCAGTTCGATGACTGTGCCGACAGAAATTAATTCCGGTGGATCTAGTTCGTCTCCGACAGAAACTGATAATGATGCATCTAGTTCGTTGACAGCGTTGACCGGAAGCTGCTACGAGGTGTTTTTAAGTTTCAGAGGCCCAGATACTCGATATAGCTTCACTGATCACCTCTACAATGGGCTCCACGATGCCGGAATTCATGCTTTCAGAGACGATGACGAGCTCAGCCAAGGCGAAAACATTAGGCCAAAGCTTATGGCAGCCATCACGACCAGTAAGATCCTGATCCCCATTCTCTCTGTGACTTATGGTACAAGCAATTGGTGCCTGGATGAACTGGTTCAAATAATGAAGCGCAAGAATAATAACGGGCAGATGGTGTTGCCTATATTCTACAAAGTGAAACCAGCTGATGTGGGACATCAAATCGGGAGTTTTGGAAAGGCATTTCATGAGCGTAAGAGGCGTTTGCTTAAGAGGTCTTCTTTCGACCTAACGATTTTGGAGAAATGGAAGCAAGCACTCCTTGAAGTCAGCAACTTGAAAGGCTACGAAGCCAATGGGTAAAATTTCTCACCAAGACATTCTCCACTTTCTTTTAATATGTGCGGGTATTTACTAGTCGTTCTGATTCTCACCCGCTTCATTTTCGTTCTTATATATATAAAAGATCTTTTAAATAGTAAGATCTTGTTGGCAGTAAGATCCTACAATGCATGAGTTTTACAAGTTATTCTTTTTTTTTAGGTTTTTGCTTTAATGATATTAACCAATTGAATTATAGATTTTCTTGTTATGATCCCATTCGCCTGAATAATAAGATTTTATGAATGAATATTTACTCTTATATCCAAAGATTTTGTAACATTGTGACATTTTTTTTCATGTTTTTAGTGTACGCTACATTAATCTTCGTCACAGACTTTTTTAATTAATATTTCTTTGAGATTAATAGTACAGCTCATTGGTGATTTTATTTAAAGCTCACAACATCATATACCGTGCATGGTGATTGTCAAAGCCATAATTCTTTATCTTCCCAAGTTAAATTTATTAAATCATTAATATCGTTAATTAGTTGCTATTTATTTTACAAAAGAAATGTTTCATTGGTTATATATGATGATTGTATATATAAAAAAGGAAAAAAATATTATTTTATTATACGTTTGTTTAAATAATTTTCAATGCATTTCTATCTTCAACAAGTAATTTCTATCACATACACCTGCATATATTGAAGCAATGCTCTTATTTTGGGTAAAAATTATTCTTCTACTTCCCTATAAAGTCGATGTTAGATCAATTGAAATCATAGAACATAGATACTCAAAAGGAAAATAAAGTACAACCTGTTATCATTCCTAGAGGCAATGAAAACAAATAAGAACACCCGTCTAGAATGGTACTAAATTCACAACATGAGGGGAACTTGCGAGCGTGGAGAATTGTGCAAACAAGGAGAAATCCCATAATTTGCATTAAGGTAGCTCACTATATCACACTCTGTACGACTTTTCGAATTCGCATTGTTGGGCCTAAAATCCTCGTGCATCAAAAGTTATGACTTGTTTATTGATTGATGGCTGACGTTCATAGTGGGCTAGCTTACTGGGTTTTTGCTTATTCAAATGCTGTAGAAAATTTTCAAAGTCCATGTTATCCCTAAATATCGTTAACAAACAACAAGTTTAAAATTTGGTTCAAATCCATAATGTATATACAGTATTCAAGATTCATATTTCTTTTGGCTTAAGAAATTATGTCAAAGTAATAGTGGAATGGGGCCCGCCATGTGAAGCAACCACCGACATTTCCCACTCTAGTTTTAGCATATAAGATAATACATGGAGGTGTGACAAAAACGATTCTTAAAGTTATTATATTTATCCCCAAATTTATTTATTACCATGTTCTCAATAGATAAACAATATAAAATTATTGTTGCCACATATTTGAACTCTTGTCCCATTTGACAGGTATGAAGGAGACTTGGTGAAATCGATTGTCCGAAAAGTGTTGAGGGAACTGAAGAAGAAGTTTGAGTTGGTTATTTCTGAGAATTTGGTCGGAATTGATAGTCATGTGAAGGAGATTACGGAATTTGTGGATAATAAATCTCATGCCACCCTATTTGTTGGCATCCATGGAATGGGAGGCATTGGTAAGACTACTCTTGCTAAAACCATCTACAATAAGCTCTCCAATCAATTTGAGCATCGTAGCTTCATTGCTGATGTAAGGGAATCATGGAAGCATAATGATGCACATTACCTACAGAATAAGTTAATCTATGATATTTTGAAGCAAAAAGATGCAGTTGATAATGAGGATGAAGGGACTTGGTTCATCTCCTCCAAGTTTAAAGATAAAAAGGTCCTCATTCTTCTTGATGATGTGGATAATGTCCTTCAGTTGAAATGTTTGGCTGGTAATCGTGATTGGTTTTCTTCAGGAAGTAAGATCATTGTTACCACCAGAAACGAGAGGATTCTTAAAGAAGTTGGGGTGGACTACGCCCATGACCATAAGGAATTGGATAACAATCAATCTTTGATTCTGTTTAGCAAACATGCGTTCCGAAGGGAGTCTCCTCCGAGGGACTTTGAGGTCCTCACTCATGAAGTTGTATCCATCTCCGGAGGGCTTCCCTTATCACTTGAGGTTTTAGGTTCATTATTGTGCGGAGAAAAGCAAGCATTCTGGAGAGGTAAACTAGACAAGTTAAAAAAAGCGCCACCTGAGAAAGTGCTAGAAAAGTTAATGATAAGTTATCAAGCATTAGAAGATAATCAACAACAAATATTTTTGGATATCGCTTGCTTTTTCATTGGCACTGACAAGAGAATCGCATCCTACATGTGGGAAGCTTGCAGCTTTTACCCTGAGGAGGGAATTGAAGTATTGAGATTCATGTCATTAATAAAAATTGGAGATGATCATGATCTCCGAATGCATGATCAATTGAGAGATCTTGGTAGGGAAATAGTTCGCAAAGAAAACCGACGGGAGCCTCATAACCGTAGCAGGTTATGGGAGTATGAGGAAGTCCAGAAAGTGCTAAAGGAAAATAAGGTAACCGTTTCTTTCTTTTGCCCACTTAGTCCATGTTCCGCTGTTAACAGTCATGTTGGTCCACTAGTTAGTGCTTGCTCTAGTGAACAGAGAACCTTCTACTATTATTGCCCTCGAATGTTTTATTGAAGTGATTATAAAGTAGGGAGGTTGCTCTCTCTTAGTAAATATAGTAGTATTATCTGAGATTTTTCTTAAAGTGTATATTACGAAATTATCTCCAAGAATGAGATACTTTGAAATGTTTTAGATAATTGATAGGGGTATTCAATGTTGGCAAGATCTTGAATTTACATCTTCGACACATGCAATAAATAACTTGACTATGCTACTAGAAACCATAACTACTTAGGATATATAAATCATTAATATCTAGATGTTAAAATTACTATTATAGGACTAAGATGCCTGCATTTCTCGTGAAATTTTAGTCATTATTCCATAACGGAGAATAACTTACCGAACAAGATAGGAACATAAATTCCTTATATATAACATATATGTGTGTATATAACATCAAGCGTATTTTATGCAATCACCATTAGAAAGAGAAATGTTTTATTTTTTCTGAATAAAAAGTCCAAGAGATAAATACTTTAAAATTCTATTTTGTATAATTTTTTTGTATAATTAAGTTTGTGAGTGTATTTGCATTTGTGAAATTAACCATAATTTTTAAACTAAAAAGGTACATTTAATATAATTATTTCATTATTTTTGCATGACTCCATTTCGCTCCTCATCCATGATACTATCATAAAACGAAGCCCAGCCTTTTGCATATGAGACGAAAATAACATTAACTTTCGACCTCATCCTTTTACTCATGTGACAAAAATGACACCTACCATCAATTCTTCCTATTCTCGCTTTAAATCACCCCACGTCATCCTACATAGCTCATGGTGCGAACATGCACAATGAACCACGCTAATCGTGACCACAAATGACTTCTTCTCATTTGACAAAAAGCCAGAAATTTTGTAAGAAAGATTATAAATAAAGTTTGTTAACAAGATCATAAAATAAAGCACAACATCTTTTTTGGTGTGGGTTGACATGGCTCATTGTGTACGTTAGCAAAGTGAGCAATGTAGGATACCCATGGCGATTTAACGATGATAATGGATGAAATTTGTAATAGGTGTCGGCTTTGTTCTACAGTTAAATAGTTGGGCTATTTGTATTACGTTTGAAATGTTATGTTATTTCTGTCGTAAATGCCGAAGGCTAGGCTTTATAGACGTTTGAAAGGTTTTGCTACTTTTATCCCAAGTACAAAAAGGTTGGGCCTATTTTCGGGATTTGACCAAAATCTAGCTATCGATTTTTTAAGGTGAAAAAAGTTGCACATCACACAAAGAAATCTTGAAGATAGATAGGGCATATTGATATTTTGAGAGGGAAGTTTATGGGAAAATGACTAACGTGAGTAGATTACTTATGTTAAAGATTTCTTCCTTTTTTTTTATATAGTTATTCTTCTCTTGGATTCCTTTTAGGTGTTGAGATCTGATTCCTTTCCAAATTATTATGTCAATCACCTATGAGTATCCATGAAATCTTGTACAGCATTGTGAATTACAATAACAAAATTTTTAGTTCGGAGAAACTGATATGAAAAGCCATGAACTTTCTGTTTTATTTCTTGACTTCTTATGCATAAGTAATTTTTTTTTCTTGTGAAAGCTTACTACACATTTGGTTCTCAGGAAGAACTATTCTATTTCCAATCTATTCCAATAAAGCAATTATTCCTTCATTTTTTTCCAAAATAGATTAGAAATTACTATTCTTTCCCAATCAGGAATAGTTATTCCTGGGGGGGCCAAGGAAAAGCTATTCCATGTAGGCTTGTAGCCAAGAGTAGCTTCAATTTTCACATTGCAACAACGCTTTGCACTTTCAACAATTAATTGTTTAATATACATCAAAGTTATTAGGGTTTGTTTATTATATTTATTATACTTGAGTTACTCAGTTAATTATGATTATGATTATATCAGATTGTAATCTATAGTTAAACTTAAATTAATGATAAAATAATAAGCTGTAGAGAATATTAATATAACTAATAAGTTATTTATGATTATGAATATATCAAAATGTAATCTATTGCTTAACTAAAATTTATGATAAAATAATAATTTGTAGAGAATATTAATATAACTAATATTATTGTCTTAGTTATTTATAATTAGAAAATAATTAATTAACAATATTTCAAGTAGCTATTAATAAAATAATAAGTACATAATATATTAATATAACTACTATCACAATATTCAGTTTCTCGTAATTAGTTATTACTCCAATTGAAAATCAGAGTATATGTTATTTTTTTTATTAATCGCATAAGTAGCACAATCAAGTACGAAATTAATATGAAATTTACAGAGAGAAAAAAAATTTATTTCTACAAAAATTGATCAATTCAACTTTTCTTTTTGCACGTTGCAATTTGATAAATTCTGTGCATTGCACGCATGTCTTAATTAGTATGGCAATGAAGCTACAGTACTGGAAAGAAAAGATTACAAGTTGTAAAGTTTTGACTCTGTATGAGCCATTACATCATAATTCTTTTTAATATCCGCCAAATTTCAAAATGGAAATCGACTTCCTTCACTTTGTTAGCCTTTATAAATACTCTTTATTGGCTTTAAAAGAAAATCATATGTTCACACTACTGGTCTCTAGAACACATTAATGCACGTCAATAGCAATATGAACAAATAGTATTAGATTACTTTACTTGGTTTTAGTACTAATGAATGTTGATTCTTGCTTATAGGGAACGGACAAGATTGAGGCGATTGATCTGAGCGAAGGCAACTCAGAAGGCTTCGGCAAAATAGCCGAGCGAGATGGTGACATTTACACAGCAAAGCAATTCAAAAAATTGATGAGTCTAAGATTCCTTCACATGAAAGGGGCACATCTCAGTGGAGATTTTAAGGACTTAATTGAGGAGTTAAGATGGCTTCGATGGCCAGATTGTCCCGTGAATTTTGAAGTAAAAAATTTTCCCGTAAAAGAATTAGCCGTACTCGAATTGCAAAAAAGCAAGATAAATGAGAAATGGGAGGGATGGAGTTCTTTCATGGTAAGAACAAGTCATTTGTTTTTCTTCCTTTTATGCTTTCTTTTGAATCATAATCACTTTAGACTAATCCCTTGACAATCATTATTATTTTTATTTTACCAGATGGCAAAGAAGCTCAAATATCTCGACCTGAGGTCTTGTGATTGCTTGGAAAATACGATCTTCCTCTCAGCTTTTAAACATTTGGAGGTTCTCATCCTCAATCATTGTCGGAGACTGAAGTGGATCGATCCTTCAATTGGAGACATGAAGGCCCTCCTTCGCTTGGACTTGGTTGGGTGTAGGAGCCTCATGGAGCTTCCAGCAGAATTAGGGTCTCTGCAGAATCTAGAGATTCTAGATATTTCTCTCACCCCTATAGAAGAATTACCCAAGGGTATTGGGAGGCTGAGAAAGCTCCGAGAGTTACGTGCTGCAAATTGCTACAATCTGAAAGGGGAAATGCCGGAAAGCATGTTCAATCTTTCTTCCCTACAACGCCTTGATTTTATTTTCAGCGAACAGCTCCAATCGTTGCCGGACGACCTTCCTTCCAGCTTAACAAATTTGACCATCACCTGTGGAAGCCACAAATTGCCCTCACTTTCCCACCTAACCCATCTCAAGAAACTACAAGTTTGGGGCTGCGAAGTTCTTGAGTGCATCCAGGTGCTTCCGTCAACACTAGTAGAGAATTCAGAATGCTCCCAACCGACAGACATTGAAGAATCAAAATTACCACAATCCCTAAACACTCCCTTCAAGTTGGAAGTCTTGGACGTTAGGAGCTGTCGATCTATTAAAATAGTGAACGTTTCACAGTTTATCCATCTAAGGACATTATACGTCGTTGATTGCGAGAATCTAGTTGAAGTTCGAGGTCTTGAACTTGACAAATTGATATATTTGGAACGCTTGACTGTCTCAAGTTGCAATTCAATTGAGAGGCTGCTACTTCCAAAATCCAAGAACCTAAAGAAATTAGATGCTAGATGGTGCAAGAAATTAGCCGAAATTCAAGGCCTCGATAGGTTGGAGTTTTTGGAAAGCCTGTATATCCTGGGGTGCAATTCAATTGAGAGGCTGCTCCTTCCAAAATCCAAGAGCCTGAAGAAATTAGATGTTAGATATTGCGGGAAATTAGCCGAAATTCAAGGCCTCGATAGGTTGGAGTTTTTGGAAAGCCTGGATATCTCTTGGTGCGATTCCATTGAGAGGCTGCTCCTTCCAAAATCCAAGAGCTTGAAGAAATTAGATGCTCGAGAGTGTGAGAAATTAGCCGAAATTCAAGGCCTCGATAGGTTGGAGTTTTTGAAAAGCCTGTTTATCTGTGAGTGTGATTCAATTGAACGGCTAGACCTTTCAAAATCTAGGAGGCTGAAGAAATTAGAATTTGCTGACTGCGAAAACTTAGCCGAAATTCAAGGCCTTGATAGGTTGGAGTTTTTGGAAAGCCTGTATATCTCTGAGTGCGCCTCCATTGAAAAGCTAGACCTTCCAAAATCCGGGAGGCTGAAGGAATTAGATACTGGAATGTGCAAGAAATTAGCCGAAATTCAAGGCCTCGATACGTTGGAGTTTTTGGAAAGCCTGGATATCTCTAAGTGCACCTCCATTGAAAGGCTAGACCTTCCAAAATCCGGGAAGCTGAAGATATTAAATGCTGCCAACGTAAACTTAGCCAAAATTCAAGGCCTGGATAGGTTAGAGTTTTTGGAAAGCCTGGATATCTCTAAGTGCGCCTCCATTGAAAGGCTAGACCTTCCAAAATCCGGGAGGCTGAAGATATTAAATGCGGTTGACTGCATAAACTTAGCCGAAATTCAAGGCCTCGATAGGTTGGAGTTTTTGGAAAGCCTGTATATCTCTAAGTGCGCCTCCATTGAAAAGCTAGACCTTCCAAAATCCGGGAGGCTGAAGGAATTAGATACTAGAATGTGCAAGAAATTAGCCGAAATTCAAGGCCTCGATACGTTGGAGTTTTTGGAAAGCCTGGATATCTCTAAGTGCACCTCCATTGAAAGGCTAGACCTTCCAAAATCCGGGAAGCTGAAGATATTAAATGCTGCCGACAACGTAAACTTAGCCAAAATTCAAGGCCTGGATAGGTTAGAGTTTTTGGAAAGCCTGGATATCTCTAAGTGCGCCTCCATTGAAAGGCTAGACCTTCCAAAATCCGGGAGGCTGAAGATATTAAATGCAGCTGACTGCATAAACTTAGCCGAAATTCAAGGCCTCGATACGTTGAAGTTTTTGGAAAGCCTGGATATTTCCAGAATCAAGTCACTCAAAACAATTCCAGAGTTACCTGGAACGCGGATTTATCAAAATTACGAGAACAAGCAGCCTACATTTTCTAGCAAAGATGGATCAGAGTATACAGACGACTCGGATGAGGAATATAGTGGCAATGATCCACATTTTCTAGCGAAGGTATATAAAGCAGGTAAGTTACCGCCCAAATTTCATTTGTATTTCCTACTTGCAATATCTTTCAAGATTTACAATCTTGTCATTTGTTATTTCCTAGTTGACAGTGTCATCATTGTATCCTTTCTTGGATTCAAGGAATCCGGGGGAGATGTCCATGGAAGTTAATGTGTGCTTTGGCAAAATGATTTTGCTTATCATGCCGGTAACAGAAATAGAGGAAAAGGCTTTCTAAGCGCATCATTTGTCATTAGTCTTCGAGTAGGATCCTTCATCCTATGCAGAAAAATAAAGATTCTCGACATTTGATTGATTCTGGAATGCTGGAGGTACTGAATAAAAACTGATGTATGCAGGTATTTCATAGCATGCCAAAGGTCATTGTGTAGGTCGAGAAATGCTAAATGAAGGAACCTATATGGCGGTCCTTCTAATGCAAGGTTTTAGTTTGCTCTGCACTCATCATGCAGTTCGTGACTGGATGTTTCTAAGGTACCCTTACGAGTGAATTTACAGTGCAAAAGGAGCATCTAGATAGGGCATCTCTTCATATGCATACGCTAATGACTTGGGATAAAATTTGTCCAACCATTGTGTTCCACACATTTTATCTCACAGAACTGTCTGCATTAGCTGATTAAGGTAATCGTATTGGTCTAGAAAAGCTAAATGCAAGAACAAGCTCTTCTCCTATTGGTGTGGTTGTGAGTGAACTAGCAAACAGGGCAGAAGCAAAAGCATTGTGAATTATTTGGATCAATCGAGAAAATTGCAATTCGAATTTTTCTGACTATGGATCCATGTTCATTTGGTTTGAATCCAGGATATCCCTAGTCCAAGGCTAATAATAGATTATCCCAAAGAAAGAATCTTGATGTTTATAGAGTTGGTACAGCCATCTGTCATATACCTGAACTTTTGAGCCAAGCAAGACACTTTTTTTTTTGGTCGGAACCAAGCAAGACATTAACTAGAATGTCTTTTGACATAATCAATTGTACTGTGAAATAATCCCTTATATTGTGCATAAGTTCTTGTTAGTGCATTTGCTTGTTGAAAATAAAAACAGAGGAAGCAATTCCATAAGTTTCCTGAGGAAACTTTTCAGTATCCTATATGCCATTTGAAACTGTCTTGCATTAATTCTAATGCATGAATAGCACATAATGATAACGAAAAGAATCATACTATGTCCCACAAAAGCAAGCAACTTGAGTTGAATTCACTATGTTAATTTGATCAAGGCTTCCGTGGTTGATGATGTTCGATGTCCCATTAGTTGGATCGAAAGAGTTCAAAAAGAATATTGAGTTTGACAAACAGAGATCTGTAAACTTCGGAGTATTATTACTAGTTCGTTGATCTTAGTTGCTGAATTGATTCCATCTGACTCACTGGCAGGATTCAGTTATTGTGACATTCCGAAATTTCCACCAATTGAAATTCATTAAATAATTGAATTTTATCAGATGTGCTCCTAGTAAATTTCTCGTCCGGAACTGATCATTCCTGGGAATGCTAACCGTTAGGGAAAGGCTAATAGAGGAATTAAATTTGCGCGACTAAAGAAAATTCAATCGTGAATAGATTTCGACCATTAAATCGCGCAGGTGATATTTTGAGCCACTGTTGGCCGATCCAAGGATAGTTAGGGGTCAGTTCGCCACTATCCTAGTAGTGGATCGTGGGTGATTCCGTGGGACCACGAAACGACGTGACGAATGATCCCGAAATTATACCGAACGATTGTACCCCTCGGATGAAGTGATTGATCTTCGCGATTTTAATGACAATCGAGGTCGTCACGCACCGAATGGACTTGCACGTGACTCGATTTCGTATCGGTCATGAGTCGATTCAGCGAATTTCCCCAGCAAGCCGCTCGTTAGCTTGAGAAATGCTCGAGTTGCGTTTAATAGAATTTAAATATTGAATTTTTACTCAAATTGGACACCGAAAAATTAGGAAGTCACGCCGGAACGTTAGGACGATGTTGCATGTGACACGTGCGAATTTTTGGTGTGCTCAATTCCTTCGGAAAAATTTGATTTGAGCAAGAAACGGAGAATTGGATCATTTTACCCTTGAGAATTACAAAAGGGTTAGTTTTGAGGACAAGGGGTAATTTAGTCATTTTTGCCTTAGATATTTTTGGTCCAATTCACTATTTGAGTCAAGAAGACTCTCTCTTTCTTCACTCCCCCCCATCGTGGACTCCCTCTCCCTCTCTTGGTTTCTTTTCCTTTTGGCCGTGAGCCAAGCCGCCGGCACCGCCGATCGCCGCCGGTCAAGCCGCCACCGAGCCACCGCCGTCCCCGCCTCACGCCACCCTCACGCCGATCACCCCTCCCGCCGTCCCTCTCTCTCTCTTGGCCGTGAGGCCCTCGGCCACGCCCAAGCCCCGCCGTCGCCACCCAAGCCGATCGCCGCCACCTGGAAGCCGCACGTCGTCACCGCCGTCCCTGATTAAGTGCCGCCGCTTTCCGTTCTAGCCGAGAAAGTCTAGAACGCGGGTAAATTGCGCCTAAACCTAATTTAGGACTTCGGGTATCGACGGTCAATTTTGGACAAAATCAGTGTGAAATTAGGTGCGGAATTACATGGATAGTGAGTGGAAATTTTATGGCGGGCCTTATGAATTAATTCGGATAATATTTATTGGAAATTCAGAAAATGGGGGCTGCGAAACACTGTTCACTGGCTGTGGATTACTGTTCACGGGGTTGTGATGGTCCGATTGGGACGCAAGTTGAATTTTTGGAACCTAGAAATTATGGCGAGAAAGTCCCGTGAAGGCTCGGAATTAATCCGACGCCATTTGGTTGGAGAAAAATGGGAATTATCGTGTTGGATGTATATTTAAATTATTAGTAAATTGTGGTAATTAAGTTGAGTATACTGTTGTGCAATTAAGTGACTGAATATGCTTGTTTGGTGCACACGTGAGCTAAATTGAATTATTTATTGACATTGGTCGTGTAAATTGATGAGTGAGCATGTTTTGTGTGTGAAATGATGTATGCACAGACCTCGTGTGTTGGGCCAGTTGCGTGTGGTAAACGCGTGTTGAGCATGGACTTGAGTAGAAGGGAAATTGCGGTGTGGCAAGTGATTGTGAAAAGTATGTGGAAGGGTGAAAGTGCGAGGTTGGGATCGGGCCGAGTATCATAAACTCGGGCAGCGATCACGTAGGTCTGATGCATTTGACACATACTGAGGCTTGAAAAAGCAAATATGAGAATCGGTCCGAGGCACGATCAGCTCGGGTGAGACCGGGATTGGACCGAGGCATCTTAAACTCGGGTTTCAATCATGTAGGCCTATCGCATTTGGCGCGGGCTGAGTTGGGATCGGGCCTGGGGCGCGTGATGCTCAGGTTGCGATCGGGGCCTGAGGCGTGAACGAGTACGCGGACCGAAAGTGTGGTGATGAATGATCGCAGTGTGCCTGAGGCGTGTACTTCAACGCGGGCCACTGGCGAGGAATGAGAAAGAGGAAATGAGAATGGAAGGAATAGTGGAATGGAAATTGGTACATGTGTGTGTTGCATACGGCGTGATTGTGATTGAGTACAGGTGTACGCATGTTTGAGTCTGACTATATTATTTGAGGCGCTTGCGACGTGATGACTTGATGTGTACGAATGCACGTGTGTCTGTGTGATTGTCTGGAGGTACGTGATAGCCTAGGTTGGGTTTAGGGGTGAGCTTACTGAGAAGTGTCTCACGGTTGTTTCAACCGACAATTTCAGAATCCTGACCGGAGCCATGAACCCACCGCCGCAGCCACCAGAGCGTTTTGGGGTACCCGTACACTTCGAGCTGGATGTTGTAGAGTTTCCAATGGAGGATAATTTTACCTGGATTAGACACACAACCACAGTGTTCGTAGAAGTAGGCTTACCGCTTTACGAGGAGCATAGATATACCGCTTGGTTTTTCGGGATCAAGACGGGGCTGAGTTCAGACCCGTTAGAGGTTTTGATGTCCCATTTGACTTAGTAGGGGACTGGGATCCGACAGCTGTTCCTCCGATAAATGGTGAGCTGACGAGTACAGAGGTTAGTGTAGCACAATCAGGGTTGCACCCAGCAACTGCTGCTCAGGGATCGTCAGAGGCCAAGCACGAACCCGGGCCTGAGGCATCGCAAGCTGAGAACGATCCTATGGACATAGATCTAGAACCGATCCCAAAGGAAGAACCGGAGGAAGCGGAGGACGAGGCTGAACCTGAAGTGGAGCCTGAAGCGGAATCTAAGGATGAACCTGATGACCTTGAGGAGCCCGATGAGGAGGCTGGTTACGCACAACCGTATGCGCAGTACATGGATCCCAATTACGTGCCTGAATTTAATTTCTTCGACTTTCTGGCTGAGGAATATCAGAATGCGACTCCAGCCGAGTCGGGTGATATCAATCATCCGATTGAGATTGAGGCGGAGTCGAAAGCCTTTGAAGAGCAGACGGATCCAGAGAGTTCTGATTCGGTTGGAGAGTAGTCGGACTCGAAATGGACGCCAAGTAAAGGGGCGTAAGGGCTAGTCTAGGGGTGAGCAATAGAATGTGGATGAGTACCATTTTTGGATAGAAAGTCAGGTCGCCAATTGTTTTTTTTGTGTTATCGACAGTGGGTATCGGGGTGCAAGAGTATGCGATGGTGGTATGGTGGGGTGGATTGTAAATTGTAAATTGTAAGTTATAAGCTTTGAATATTTTATAAGTTGGAATGAAGTAGTTGTATATTCTCCCTGATTGTTCTTCCTAGTTTTTAATTGTCCGGGTTTATTTGTTGATATCCGCTGTGGTAATAAATCTCTAATGGCGTTTTGAGGTCAACAACATTCCTGGGACGTCGCTTGAATCGACCAGAGGCGGATGTCACGTGCCCGTTAGGGTTCGGGGCGTGACAGTTATCATTCCACAGCATGATGTAAATGCTGAAATATCCAAGAGAGCTTTCGCAAGGCATTTGTAAAAGGAATCGAAATCATAAAAGGATCAGGAGCTCGATGTTCCAGGAACTTCTCCAAACCCTGACAATGCATCCTTGGAATGGTAATGGTTGTTAGCATGTTGTCATCCCACATTGCCCTCATTATATTTGGCAGAAGCTTTGCGGAGCTGAAACTGTCAACCTCCACTACTGTAATCAAGTCTGTCTTTCTGTCTCTCTCTCTCTCTTATTTTCTCTCCCACTTGTTCCTCTCCTACAATTTTCTCCGCATGCTCTTGGAGTCGCTCGCTTCTCAGGTTCGTCGTTCTTTTGCGACCTAACGGGCGGTCGACTCGATTCGTCCCACTTGGTTTTGTGAAGTTTACTCGATTTCCGATTGGCAGGTGAAGATGGCGGAGTGAAATCTGGAGAAGGATTTGCTGACGTTGGTTACGAAGGACTTGAAGGTGGTGCTTCATCGTTTCAATTGGCAGAGGCTGTGGACAGTCTCTCTTGGTAATTGCTTTGACTAGAGAAAGCTCTCTTTTTTATTCAATGTGTTCGTTCCTCAACGATGGCTTGGTGTGCCCTTTGAGTCATTGACCTTATCTCGTTTTACTTCTTTTGCTTTTCCTAAATGTGCTGCGCTCCCTTTTCGCAAGAGGAACCACTGTAATTGCCAATCTAGCTCGATTTGCGTTCGATGGTGGGCAAATATAGAGGGGAAGTGCTTGAAAGTCTAATTGAGAACATGATGTCGAACTAAGGAGTTGGTGTTTTACAGAAAACCCAAGAGTGAATGAAGGTGATACAAGCGGAAATCTAGAGATGACTTAGTTGCACTAGGATAAATGCTGTTGAAGTTTTAGGTGAAACTTCTGTTCTAGTTTATGTAGTGGTGACTGTACTTGATATTACGATTATATTAGGTTCTTTTTTTGCACTAATATTTGTTTCAGTGGTATCTAACTTTGTTTGTCATAAGGAAAGTAAAACTCATATTAACTCAGGATATTATCATCATCCTTAACAAGAAATGGATAGTTAACATAGAGCAATTTTGATGCAATTTTCTTAGAAATAATTTTAAACTTTACACGATGGAAGATCTTTCCTGCTGATGATTTTAAATGCTTAAGTTGACTTTTGAGAGTCATTGTAAGCTGAACAACATGATGCCTCGTACTTCGAAGCCTGAATTATTTTATTCATGCTTCAGATTTCTACCCAACCTGTAAGTATCATACTATATTTCAATAAAAACCTCTAGAAATCTATGAAGCTCAGATGTTGAAAGTTGTGAGGCAAATTTGTTGCAAAATTTTAAGCATTGTCACATGATTCACACTTCATTTTTGTTCTCAACTGTCTAAGGCTTGCTTAGTTTTAGAGAACACCTTTAGTTTCCGTTTTCATCGAAACTGTTTTCAATGTTTTTTGACAAAATATTTGTTTAGTGAAAATAATATGTCATAAGGGATGAAAATTGTGAGAATATGCTCAGGTTACATCACATTCAAAAAACAGGCTTAGTTATTCCAAATCTCCTTGTTTGCATGTGGAATGAGAATACTAACAAGTCATCTTCAGTTTGTGATTTTGATTTTGAGAATAGTTTTCCTTTTATGCATCAACTGCTTTTGGAGTGTTACCAAACGCAATTTTTGTTCTGTTCTAATTCTTAAATTGAAATCAGAACAGACTTTTGAGAATCTTTATCAGCCGAATGCCTCCTTAGATAATCAATCTCTTTTTGTCTGCAGAAAAAAAGAACTTCATCAAGTTGCTCAACAGGCTTTGAACATTGAAGATTTACTTCATGTCATCCTGACATTATTATCAGTCATGGATAAGCAGTGGGCTGATGCCATCAACATATTTCATGAGAAGTTTGATGTGCTGTCAAACCTTTTAAGTGAGTGGTATTGTTAATACAGAGCATCAGATGACATTTCGTTTTTCTTCATTTTACTGTTTTCATTTGCTTATCTAGGTCTTGACTCTTCTCCTCAGGAGGAATTTTTGAGTCTTCTCAGAGGTGTCAGGACCAGTCTTGCATTCCATCAGTTTCTTGTTAATTCGGTGGGTGAAGTGGTGGGGCTGGTTTTTTAAGCTCCACTGCTGCTATGGGACTTTGGTTTTTTTTCGTTCGTTTTTATGATCTTGGTCTGCTAGTTTGTTCAGTGACAGCGTATTAAGGGTGTATCAAAAGTTGTTTGTGGTGCCGGAAAAGAACTTCAGCTGGTTGTCCTCAATCATCTGCTGGTACACGTTATTATCTTTGCCTTTGGCCTTTTCCCCTAATAAATAAATAATTAAGTTTGACGCATCTCAGAGAACAGTCATGGAGGTGATTAGATAGAGATAGGAATTTGTTACAATAAGTTATGCTTCGCACATCTTGAGACACCATATTTTTAAGAACATCCTGCTGTTGATTCTTCATACGAACATATTATGTGCAATGATATGAATTACCAACATAAGTGGCTGGAAAGGGTGAAGTAAAATCTGATTTGAGTCTAATTCAACAAGTTGGCAATCTCTCGTATGAGCGTATAATGGAAATTTTAGGTCATTAATCATTGGTTTGAACTTGAACTTGATCTAAGTTTGTGCTTTAAGAGTACTGTACATGGAGATTTGGATATAGAATGTTTATACATTCACATTATAATTGGCAAGTGTAGAGTTATATCTCAGTTTAAAAGGAAAGAGTTTATTGCCTGCTTCGATCTTAGCATACGTCCCCTCATAATTGCGATAGTCAATTTTGTACCAAAGAATCATATTCAACTATTTTTACCTACCGATATTACTATTAGAGCCTAGGAGAAGTTAGACCTATTTATACTACCAAATTCCACTCATTGAACTCGATGTAGTAAGTGAAACTCTTCTTTCCTGTTTTAAGTTTATTGTCAACAAGCTAAGGATGAGAATGAAAAGTCAATTAACCGAAGAAAATGAACAGAAAACTAACCGGTGGTTGCTTGGGTAACAGCGAATGGATCCTACATGGATCTTATCTGTGATGCTTGACCTTGGTTATGGGAGTCTCTATTCACAATCATTTGTTTCGTGCTTAGATGTGAGAATTGATTGTTATATTTTATTATTTTTCATCATATCTTTAGATCACGATTTTTGATATAACACCTCTTTTTTGGCAGAATAATGCTGAGGATGTTAAGTTCCGGTATTGAAATTGGTTTACTAAGTCGCATGCCAGATAGATTCGTGTTAGGTGTTTGTGACCTCCTTACGTATTATACTCGCATTTTACCTCTTCAAATCAGTTTTGTATACTACTCTTAGTCCCTCGTATTGCTCCGTTTTTTGTAGTGTGTTGGTAGCCCAAGATAACATGGTGCAAGCATAGGAAACTGTCCAAACCATTCTTTTCCAAGAACAGGAGGAGATGCCGCACGGACTCTACCTCCTTTTGCTCTGGAAACACCTGATAACCAGTTTTTGCCTTATTTCTAAAGTAAGGATTTGTTTCCAGGTTGCTTCCCAAGCAGAAAGAGAAACTCTAATTGGAGTCCTCACTTTCCAAATCGCTTTTTGAGGAAAATCTGTTCTACCAAGAATCTCCCTATCAAGCAGATTGTAAAGTCTTACAGAAAAAATTCCATCTCTTCCGTTGTTCCACACAAAAAGATTCTTTAAAAGCAACAGAAATCTTTGAATTATGCAAGACATAAAAGAAGGCAGGCAAAAGCTTCGAACTCCTAATCTTGGGCTTGGCTTACGAACACAATATCCCATATGATCATTTCGTTGTTTAAACGATAACAATATGCTGCCAAAGCTTCCTTGTTCCTTGACATTTCGCCCAAATGCTTACACATAGAACACCAATATGTGAGAATCAATTTCCATTTCTTGGGAGTGTAAGTTTTGTAGTAAATGTGCACCAAATTGGAATAAGATTCTTACAATTGAGAATCTCAGGAAACGTAATTGATTTTTCATAGAATGGTGTTGTGTGTGAAAGCATTTGGGGGAAAATGTTGATCATCTCTTTCTTCTTTTTGACTTCGCTCCCAAGCTTTCGCATCAAATCTTCAGCTTGTCTAAGGTAAATTGGTTCTTGCCAAAACATGCCATCCAGTTTTTTAGTTGTTGGAATGCCTAATTAGGAGGATTCTAAGAAGTCCAGAAGTGCCGCACCTTTGTCTCATGTGGGGCCTTAGGAAAAAAGCAACAAAATGTAGGGTTTGGAATCTTTGGTTGCTTCTACGTTGTACCTTTTAACCGACTTTGAGCATCATGTTCTGATTCTGTATACTCTTCTAATGCTTCATTTTGTTTGTTTTTCTTTTGTTTTGTTCTCATATATACCGATGTACTGGAACTTTTTCTTTCAACAAAATCCTTTATTGTCTTGAGAAAATATATTGCCAGTTTATTCCCCTGCCAGATCTCTCTCCATGCATGTGGGCATTTTTGTATGTTGTGAACATGTGCTTCGGCGTGTACATGCATGCGATCATGTGCTTGCACAGGTGTGCACACATATACATGCACACTATAGGGCTGTTGTTAATTAGATTAGATTCTGTGCTTCTCCTGGGTACAATGACTTTCATGTACGCGCTACACATTCTTGTTTTTTTTTGGTAAGGCGCTACACATTCTTGTTGATTACTACTATGGTGAGAAATGATGTTTCTAGTTATATTCTTTAAGGTTATAGATTCTCCTGTTTTCTTTTTTGATAAGTAAGTCTATTAAAGAGGCAACAAGAGCACCAAGGGGATGCCTCTTACTTACAAATTACTACCTATAAGTTCATATTTACCTTAAAAATTAAAGAAAGACTTGGTGTCCAAATAACTGCCACCACAATGTGAAAAAAATAAGGTGGAAGCCAAAAATCCTTTGCAGCACCTATAGAACTTTCCTCATTTTTGAAAGCTTGCCTATTTCTTTCTTACCAGGGCTTATGAACTTTTTTTAACTCCATGGTACTGCCAATCGAGGCTATTGGGCTCCTTTCTCCTTTTGTCTATTCAAAATGTGCATTCACGACGGTGTAGAACTTTGTGGAACAATTGCCAAGAGATAAAAAGACTAAGCAATGAAATAAAGATGTGGTTTACTATTTGTCACGCCCCGAGCTCCCGTTCGAGCCCACGACATCCCGCTTCTGGTCGATCAGTTGCGACGTCCCGGGTTGTTGCCGACCTCATCTAAACATCAGAGATTTAATTGCGCACACGAAAACCATAAAACACCCGGACAAAAATTTTAACTGGGGAAACATTGGGAGAATATATACATTTCCATTACTCGATCAAACTTGTACCACCATATTTACAAAATACAAACCTTAGTTTACCAGTGCACACATTACTAACCCTTCAAGAGTAAAAACAAAAACCGATGACCTGCCATCCAACCCGTAACAACCTTTAACATCCCTTGCTTGGCGTCCACTCAAAATCTAACTCCACCTCATCCCGTCTCCCATTTGAAACTCAGCTGTCTCATACTCTATATGCACTGGA